AGGAAGGAAGGAAGGAAGGAAGGAAGGAAGGAAGGAAGGAAGGAAGGAAGGAAGGAAAGGTTTGAAGGCAATATGGATGCAATAATCTTTATCATTATTTCATGTTCATTTCATATGCTTTGGGGATTAATAGAACTATTACTAGTGAAAGAAAGCACTGCAAGTCTGTATCTTATACTCCTATTAAGCTTTTTAAATATATGCTGTTTTCAACTAGCTTGCTAAATGGGCATATGCTTGGATCTCTCTCCAGAAGAAAGTTCTGTCCTTTTCAGGACCTTCTAGAGCTTTCAAGGACTTTAGGAGAAGATCTTTCCTCTTTTTTCCCACTGAGATAATCAAGCAGTGGGATCTGATTCCTTAATGCTAAAATAGGTTCTAAGTTCTATGTTATTGTAAAATAGGTATACAAATTGTGAACTTAACAATAATCCTTTTTTAGGGATGAAAGAAAATTAGAAAGACACTTGAATTCCAATGTTCTTGAAAAAGAAAAGAAAATGATTTAACCTTTACTATGAAACTAACTCAGGGATACCCTACTTTCAAGAAAATGAAACACATAAGTGTACCTGGAAGAGACCTTTCCCTCTGAAAGTCCTACCATTGTGAGATAACTCCTTGCTTTTAAGGAAAACCATCACAAGTTCTTTTAAACCTGTTGTATTTTCAAATAATTGGTCAAAGCAAAGAATGCTTACTTCTGGTTTTCTATTGTTTTCAGCTTCCATAATCTACTAGCAAAATGATGCATCTTCTTTATGACCGCTTTTGGGCCTGGGTTCTTCTTATGAGCACTTTACCTGGAAAAAGGTGGGAAAAGAGTTTTTTTTTTTAATATTTTGGATTGTCTTTTATCATTGCTTAAAAGCAAGTGTGGAAAAAAGGTTTGATTCATACATACTGTTTTGGAGGGAGAGGTTGATTCTGCTTCAATCCCACCTAAGCCAAAATCTGAGGAAATTTAAATAAAACTAAAGCTTGGTTGCAAAACATCTCAGGTGGGATTATGATTGAGAAAGAGTTTAGTCAGGACTATTGGATCCAAACTACAAATAGATTAATGATTTCAATGTAGCTGCAAAGAGAATGGTCCTCTTTGCAGATAAAGTTTGCCAGCAGTAATGCTGCATGTAGCATTTTACATAGGGATGTTTCTGCTGCTATGATCTTGTGCTTTCAGAGAAAGAATATGACCAAGCTGCCAGACTCTTAAGATTGGCTTTTCTTCATGAAAATACACTTCAGTAAAGATATTGGGTTGAAGATTATAATTATAATAATAAGGTCTGGTTACTATACATATGAACTGAACATTTCATATCAGCAGACAGTTTGCATGATCAGGATGCAGTCTGTAAGCAGTAACTTCATGGGGAAGACTGTTATTAACATTAGTTGAATGAAATCCACTTCACCTTCCTGAACCCTGCCTGAATGGTAAATGGAAAGCCTTCTTATGCTGACATCTATCTATATAGTCTGCATTTCTGTTAGCAATAGAACTAATGAATGAAAAAATACATCTTTTCCTTCAAATTACAAATACCAATATTGGTGCACTGGTAATATCCGTTGTTCAGGAGAGTAATTTAAATTAACCTTACTACAAATAATATACGTTTGTAAAAAGAATCTGAGCATCAGAGGCAATCCAATTTAGTTTTACCGTGTTTTCTAAAAGAATAGAGCATAAAAGGATACAATACTTTATATAGCAGATCAGTGATGAAAGAAGAAAAAACTCATCTCCTGAAGAGACAAGAGAACGGAAAGGCTGTTTCTTTTATAATTTTTTTCCATACCACATGCTGGCTTGCATGTTTCACCAGAACTAAGATTTGCACCAGAAAAATCAAGAAGCATTTCCCTGCTTTTGAAAAATTGTATGAGGTGTTACTATTATAATGACCTGTAGATGGAGTCAGTGTACAGTGTTTTATTATACTTTTTTTAATGTGAAACACAGACATTGTAAATGACATTTTTCTTCAAGTTGCTTAAACTCTACATTAAAAAAACAATCACTTTTTAGATAACACATTTGCCCAATCTTTACTCATGTATGACTTCTAACCACTAACAAATCAATAGCACAAAGGGAAAAAAAATTCAAGGATTGAATGAGTTTTGCTCAATATATCTAGGAGGCCCTTCCTCCCTCCCTTCCTTCCTTCCTTCCTTCCTCCCTTCCTCCCTCCCTCCCTCCCTCCCTCATACAAAGCTAAGTAAAAGTGAAAAATGTGGGCAGTGTTTCATATTGTATTATTATTTGGATCAGGCTATTAATGTTAAGGTTCTAAATATTAGCAGAATATGTGAATGACCACATGAACACATAAATATCTGAACATGGACACTTTTTATTGTAAAATAAATGGATATATGAATATAGTATTTTTTAAAAAGAAACTAATAGTAGTAGCTTGCTTTACCTGTAACTTGATAGTTATGATACACTTAAAATCTGATTCCTAAATTAATCACATCTTTAGTTTATTACTGGTATATATTCACACTTGTCTTTTCAACATGTATATTTATCTGTAAAAATATAGGCTTGACCACTGAATTCAGTGCTGTTGAAGACCTTCACACTTCAGGGAAATTCCAATTGGTTTTATTAAAATATTCAAGCATTAAAATGAAACGTGTGGCTTTTGGAGTAGTATCCATGGTTAAACCCAGCCTAAATTCAATTTGACCTCTAAGAATCAGGTTGATTTTGAACAAGTTATGTTGGTATTGAAAATAATGGTAGTCCCAGAAGACAATCCAGTTTGCTTTTAGATAGTGCAAATGTATACTAAAATTTTATGCATAGAAAAAATAGAAATGATTCCACCTCATGCATTAAAAAAAGAATGGGATTTCATTAGATTTCAGCAAGAGTTTGACTACACTTTATTTGATAAAATGTCTGAGTGAAAATACATGGGAATATTTTGTCTTATCAAATGGTTGTACAGTTGATAATTATAATAATCTGATTTTGATACTGACTTTGGAATTGTCAAAGGATTCAGACAGGATGATGTTCTAATATGCAATTTTATATTAATGCCATTTTGAAGCTTTAAAACTAATTGTATAATATCTGTAATTTTATCCTCTTTTTGTTTTTTTTTAATTGGTCTCTTGGAATTTTTTGTGCTTAGAAAAAGAAAAAAAAACGGGGAATTGCAAGCTCGGTACCTTCTGCCACTCTTAGCTATTAATGACATGCCTACAGTTAGTTTTCTGAAGTGAAAATAACTTTCAAATGCTATCAACCCACCCACCCACTAGAAGATGTAGTTGATAGATGATGCAACATGAAAGTGGGATTCCATCTTGAATGTATGAAGGCACTCATCTCTTTTTAACCAAATAGTATAAGATAGCTCATTCTGGTTCTAAATTTAAATCTAAAAACAATATAAAAGGTTCTCTACTATCAAAAGAAGAAATATCTACTGAATTACCAATTTACAATTTGAACAGAAATGTAAGTTTTGGTCGGTCCTCTAGAGATGAGGTATTATTAACAAACAATCAATTAAATGTTATTACTAATGATAGGTAGACAGCATTAGGCTAAAGGCATATAAATTATAATAATCACATTTTTCAAATCTATAAATTTGAACAGCTCGAAGACTTATTGAGTGAATTTTTAAAATTGCATAATTCATTGCCTAAAAGAAATATTTCCTAGATTAACATTCGTGAAGCTCTATAGTTTGGAAGAGATATTTCCGCCAAACTATGTTTCTTAATCACATCACATTGGATATCTAAGGAAGGCTGATTCAGTAATAATGCATGTGACAAAATGATGAAGAAGGAAGCAGCTGGAGGTTCAAGGGCTGAATCCTGCTGAGTTTACACTGGCAAACATCATATTTTACAAATGGGATCTTCCCTGGTTAAAGGGTAGAGGAAGGACTCCAGGATTTGGCTCTGAGACAACCATGATAGATAATTAGGAGAAAACAGTGTAATTTACTGTAGAGAAGAAAATATAGGACAGTCTTAATAACAAGAACAATACAGATCTGAAGATGAGATCAAAATTTAGCTCGTGACTATTGCAAATACCTGGAAATTACTTGCTATAGGTATTGTAATGTTTTGCCACACACAGACATGGACATGCACATAGGCATATGCAGTATACACTTTCAAGAATGTTAACTGTCAAATAATAGCACTGTGGAAAAAGAAACATGGATACAGATCCCTGGGCTATTGTTATAAAATTTGTCACTCTAAAATGGAATTTCCGATTCACCAGGAAATGAATTTATTTTGCTTTCCTAAACTAATTCATATATCAAAAAAGTCCAAAATATTTAGATTAAAAAGGAAATGAATTGTAATAAAAATAATAAAATCATTTAATTTTTCCCACAATAGGGATTGTAGTCTTTACCAGTATATAAAAGAGGCTGCATTATATGGAGCCATTATATATTTACCAGTATATAAAAGAGGCTGCATTATATGAGCTATCAGTGTATTTTTCATGTAGGCAAGGATACTAAATTATTTTAGGATTGGGTAGTTAATGGGAAGATGCTTTGTTATACTTGCAAAGTATTTATGCATCAGAAATACATTAAAGATGGGCTGAACAATAAAACTCCCAGTGTAATTTATTATCTAGGTTTGACATAAGGTTTTCAAAGAATATGAATACTTGAAAAGTGAAAGAAGAAGGAATCGTATAATACCCCTTTAATCCATCATTGATGGTAGAGCTTCCAAATCTACTAATCAGTAGAAGAATGATCAAATAAGTTTCAGGAATATCATTGGACAAGATTGTTGGTGGATTAAAGACTTAAATTAATAGCATGCGTATCTTTATTTTAGGCAGTAATCAGCATATACTATGGTGGTTTTGTTTTCAGCTATGGACAAACTTCCTTACAAGATGAAATTAAAGACAATACAACTATATTCACCCGAATTCTGGATCGTTTACTTGATGGTTATGATAACCGTCTAAGACCAGGATTGGGAGGTATGTATTGTTGCAATTATTGAAAAATCTGCAAAAACAATGTTATTTAACATGCCTTTTATGCATTTTAGCCATTTTGTTTTGTAGACTTATAAAATGATAAAATTAATAAATTAATAAACTAAATGATGAAGATGGTTAAAGACACTGAGCTTGTCAGCTGGAAAGCCCAGTTTGAGACCTGAACACCATGTGACAGGGGAAGCTGCCATTACCTGCCCCAGCTCCTGCCCATCTAGCAGTTTAAAAACATAAGAGTAGATAAATAGTGGGACAGTAACAGCATTCTGTGTGCCTCGGGGTATAGTCATGCTGACCACATGACTACGGGAAATGTCTTCAAATAACACTGGCTCCCTCAACTAAGAAATGGAGATAAGCACTTCCTCTTAGAGTCAGACAGGAATGGATGGGGAAACATTTTACCTTTACTTTGAAAATGTACCATGTACTTTGATGCAAAGCTGAAGAAATATGTTTTCTAGGACCCCTTTTAATTCGGACTTGAAACATTGGTTTTTCATTATTATAACATGCATTGAATCTGGAAATAATGTTTCAATTTAAAAAAATGAAAATTGGGAGATTACTTACATTGCATGACATTCTTCAAGTATTTTCCATTAAACTTGATTCAAAAAAAGAAGACATTTTATATTAAAGTGTCTGATTGGCTGCTAGTCCTCTGGACAGATTGGTTTAAGCAGTATCAATTCAATTCAAATGAGTCTGAGGTAAAAAAGTTCAACAAGAGATACATTAACAATTTATTCAGTTTTGATTCTTATTAATAGTTCCTCAGTTTGTACATGAAGTAGAATGCCCTTACTGTCAAATAGGTACTTTTTGGTATTGCCCAATTTAGTCCACAATTTTTAAATCATTCTTATATCATGGAAGGGTATGATGCTTGCAAAAAGTTGCCTATTCTTAGTTGTGTATGAACACATTCTTGAACATAAAGGGAAAGTAAACTGAAATTTAGATCATGCATTTAGAATTGCATAGACTTGTAATTCATGACAGTTAATATCCCATATGGTTCTAGGCATTACTATTAACATTTAATTTACATTTTCTATTGGAATTTTCCAGTATGCTTTAATATTTAAGGGTAGATTTTATTTTAATTTTTTAAAATTAAAAATTTTAACGTGTGTTTCGGGTCAAGGATGGGATGGAACCATGAGAGTTTTTGTGGACATAGTCAAGAGTTATCATACTAAATATAAACCAATTATAGCACTGTTTGCAGTTTTGATTGTTATTTCATACAGCAACCAGAAATGTGAATTTCAGCCGAAACTAATATTTCACGATCTAATTGACTTTCAAGTCAACGATACACCTAATAAATTGTGAAACTGTGAAAATGGAGGAAATTGAGTACTCAGCTGGGATGTCTATTTGCTTCAGAAATTATAATTCCTGGAAAAAAATAGCTTGTATCCGAAGGTCCTATAAGCATTGTCTATCCAGAAAAGGTGTTTTTGAAAAGAATAATTTAAAATTCAGGAACAATGTAGGAGATGAATGGAATCCATGGTAGTACAAGATTTGAGAGTTTTTTCTTCTTCTTCCCATAAGAATTTTTTACTAGATGTCGGTCACTTACATAAACTAAATAAACCATTCTGTTCATAGAGGGATAGTCTGGATGCAAACTGTACCTGTTTAAGGTATTGTTCATTAGTTTCTGCAAATGCTGTGCCAAAAGCAAAAAAAAAAATTTGTTTGTTTATGCAGCCCTCACTTTAGAGGCACAGAATGGTCTGTCTAGATCCTGAAGCATCGGCTAAGAATAAAAATAGTAAAAGGTGCTTTCAATTCTCACCTATGCATCCTTCATAGAAATCTAAAGATTTGACCAACTGCCACATTTAATAGTCACCAAAAATCATTAAAGAGTTCTGTAGTTAATTAAATATTCAGTGCTTTTTATCACTTTCTGCAATCTATTTAAAATAAGGTATTTGATTGAATTGTGTAGAGTAGTTAGTTCACTTAAGCAGTTTTCATCATTCATTCTACTGATGGGAACTCTAGAAGGTAATGAATCTCTTGAATTTTGAATATAATTTTGAAAGTAAAATGTAAGAATATCAACAGTTATCTGGTTGACTTAAAGTAACAATATTTTTTCTGCCAATTTTCTTCTGAAGTAACAATATTTCTGTGAGATAGGTTCCAAAATAAATATTTCTCAGTTCCTAATTAATACAATGGTAATTGCTACATCAGTCATTGAGAAAGAACTAATAGTATCATTTAGCATAGTATAGAAATAAAAGCAGATGCATCTCATTTAAGAAGAGTAAATAAATTTGTATAAATGTTGTATCTCAGATTTCAGGATGGACGCTTGATATCATATGATTAAAATGCTTCAGGGCTAGGATTTGGATAGCTCCAGGGGTGGGTTTCTACTGGTTCTGTCCACCTCTGTAGAACTGGTAGTTCTGAAGAGCAGCAGACATAGAACCAGTTCTATGTCTGCAGATGTTTTTACCCGCCCGCCCACCCGGGCTCTTACCTGATCTTTATTTCCTGATTTTTCAACTTCAGCTGCTGAACAAGGCACAGCTGCAGTTAAAAAAGCAAGAAAAGAGGGCTGTTTCAAAGGCTGCTTCTCTGCACGCAGTGTGCTGATGACGATCTATAGGTGCACCCGCTCTCAGTGTGCAGGGAAGCACATCATAAATCACTGAACCTCGTAAATCCCGAACCAGTAGTTAACCCTGTAGTATCCCACCCCTGGAAAGCTCTGAAAGTAGGACTGAAAATCAAAGGGCCCAGATGGATATGGTTCATGGCTATACCCTGTAGACAACTGAATAAGCCCAAGGGAATCCTATTATAGCTGAGATGGTTTAGAATTCTTTGTACATTCTGGTTTCCATGCCTAAGATTTATTTCCCGTACATGGCTGAGATCAGAGTATCTAATTATAGTACAAATATTTGGTTCCTTATTCAAGGTTATTAAACATTAATTAGCACCCATTTCTAACACTTGCATCAGCATCTCCACCAATGGTGGCCATTTGTAGAGGTTTTGCTCACCTTTTATTTTATATAAAATCTCCTTTTGCTGTCTGTAAAAGAAGAGATGAGGAATCAAAGCAGAACTTCATAGACTGAAAATAATATATAGGTGGCATGCAGAACATTTTCAGTCTCTTTAAATACACCTTTAGTGTCTTACTAATGTCTGCAAATTCATAAGACCCTTAGAGATACATTGTGCACATGAGATGATATGCTAAAACAGTTTGAGTTATGCAGGACCCCCCCTTGAGGTTTTTTTTTATTGTGTTTTCAAAATAATTATTTACTATCCTTACAATTTGAAAAAAAAAAGTAATAATTTCAAATGAGAGTAAAGTAAAATAAGGACATTTTCAGTGTATATTTCTCTGATTATACCTTCATTACAGGTCACTTCTAACTAAACATGTAGCATCCTGAGAATAACCCATAGGAGGGGTGATATTTTCATGATAATAAGCACTGATTGATCCATATTCAGTACAGAAAGTCGAGCAATTACACAGACTTCAATTTAGAATTGTTTCAGACAAAGCAGATATTTGAAAGAGCTGAGATTGGATCAAGTCGTAGCTGTGTCTATGAGGGGAAGATTTGGCCTTTCCAAATCTGGCAAAAAGTCCAAGGTTTGCAAAGATAAAACCAGTGGGCAATGTGTGCCTTAACAAATAAACCATAAACAAACATCTCTCCGCCCTTACATCACTATTATGACATTTTAGCCCAAGAGTATAAATAAGAAATTAGAAAGTTCTAATATTCTTCTACATATTCCTTTTCCATAATGCTATATAAAGAAAACAATTGGGAAAGCTTTGATTTTTAAAGTAAGGTGTATTGCATTAAATTATATACCTTCTTCATGGAAATTAACATGTTCTGAACAAAGGTTACTCATGCTTTAGGAATAGCAAAAAGAATAATTCTTAGCAGATAGAAAAATAGAATAACTCCAGATACAAAGGATTTGATTTTAGAGATGTGCGACCTAGCAATTTTTTAAAAAATTATATTTTCTGTCAATCAGAAAATGTCACATTATATTTCCCTTTGGAAAAGAATTATTGGACAGGCTGGGGGAAATCTTGAAAGCTGTTTCATCTTTTTAAGATTTATAAATCTGGTGCACTTGGGATATATTTCAATTATAGGTTTTTTGTCTTTTTATATGTTTTATTAGTGTTATTGTATTGGGTTTTTCCCCCCTTTTTGAGTAGTCTGTTGTTCATTTTTATTTTTTTAATATTTGACAATGAACTGCCTTATATAACTAATGAAATATATTTTTAAAAAAAGAATTGAAAAAGAAATTAGAAACTGAAAAAGAACAGTTGCATTAAGAAAATAAGTTTTTATAGAAAGTGAAAGATTTGGAATTGGTTAAAGGAAGGAAATGGTTTTAGAAAATGAGGTTTTTTGAAATTGCAGAAAACCATTTCACCCTCATCAAAAGAGAAGCTTAAGTTGATACATATGTAGTTTCCAGGAAGTGAGTATTGTTATATCCAATGGAACTTCTGTTTGAAGAAATTTATGGATGATCTGGCTATGAGTTCTCTATAATACCTGTTTCATTTTAATCTATATTATTGGAAGGTTATAAAAATAATATTTGAAGTATGGCATGAAACCACTGGCTGATGCTTCCAGTTCTGCATGCCAGAGCACATCTTTAGCTGCAGAAAGGCTCCAGTGTGGAATCCAGCACAATAGAGAAATAAATTTTAAAAAATTAAAAAAAATATTTTCAGCATCCTGGTGGGATGGGGTAGTTAGATAGGGATTATGAATGCAAATAAATATATGAGTAGTGGGTATAGTCAGATTTCAGCTTCATTAAGAATTGGAAAAGACAGGGAGGATAAATGAATAGCAGCAGTTAATCTTTTATAATACCCTTTTCAACCATTATACTTAGCTTACAGCAATTTTCATTCAAAGATCCTAAAAGATTTATTCTGTTACATTACTATCTGCCCTTGATTTGGGATTAGATCCAGCTCTATTCTGAAATATTGCAAACTTTCCAACCCCTTCAAAATAGTAAAAAAAAATAGCAAATTATCAGACACTTTTCTTTTCCACGCTTTCATTATTTTCAGAATAGACCTTAGTCATAGTGTTTTTCACTGGACCTAAGAAATTTTATTTTATAACTTGAATAACAACACACTAGAAATAATGAGAACTTGTTCCATGTTCCATTTGAAGACTATGGTTATACCTGTACCTTTTTAGCTAAATTCAGAAAGCCCAGAAGTTTTGTCTTTAGTTAGGATTTTTTTAAAAATTATTATTTCAATAAAAAGCATTGTAAATGGAGAATAATTTGAAACAGACAGTGGGAGTCAAATGAAGCATTAGAAAATCTTTCCCTTCTGTTTCTCTGCTTCAATTCACCCTATCTGAAACATTTCCCCTCTGAAAAGGAAAGTACCCATTGCTGGCTCAGTTTGTAGTCTAACTAGCTTTCATTGAAATCACGCAAAATCAAAGTTCTGGTACTGATTGCTAGGCTAAGAAAATATTCATTTTTTCAGGATGAATATATTTCTTGGGGGAATCACCTTAGACTTGCAATAACAGGTTAGTTCTCATTGTGACAGTCTTTAGAATTCCCTCACAAGCTAATTAAATTTTAAGAAACCCCTTCCTCTAATATCCTCATAGGGAGATTTGATTAGATCATACCAATTTTATTGGATGGCTAATTAATAGAGTCCACCATCACAGTGCCTTTTCAGCATCATTCTTATGGCTGTTGGCCCTGGGAGCGCTAAAGCAAAACAGAAACAATATATTACAGTCATGGGTGGCAAATATATATCGGCATCTTTCTTTAATGTTTAGACAGATTGATAAAATAGATTTTGAAGTCTTTATTTTCTCAATTTTTCAGTTTATATAATAGCATACTGCATTATTATGGCCTCCCTAACCAGATTGTAACTATGATATGTCTGCTTATTTTTTCTCTTTCAAGAAGGTTATGGGGAAAGGATCGTATACATACCACTGACCTTTATTTAATAGGATATTTCTCTGAATTCCAAATGGAGTTCTAAATTTGGAGGACTATACATGTAGTCCTTGATTTACAATTATTCATTTAATGAAGTTACAAGGGCAGTGAAAAAAGTGACATGATTGTTTTTCACACATGACTGTTACAGCATCCCCATGGTTGCATGATCAGAATTCAGGTGCTTGGCAACTGGCATGCATTTATGATGGTTGCGCTATCTCAAGATCACGTGATCACCATTTGTAACCTTTCCATCCCATTTCTGACAATCAAAATCAACGGGGGAAGCCAGATTCATTTCATGACCACGTGATTCACTCAAAAGTGGCAGTGTTTTGATTAACAATGGTGGTAAAATAAGGGTATAAAATGAAGTGCAACTCACTTAACAACTGCCTCACTTAGCAATGGAAATGTTGGCCTTAATTGTGATCATAGGACTGCCTGCACAAAGCTTTGAACGTTCCTTCTGAGAACTTCTTTTGAAATAGAATTCCTTCTGAGAAGAAATGTGTCTGGTATGCAAAAGATCATACGTAGTTCGCAGATGATTTTATGGGTTTAAGCCAGGGGGGGGATTCAACCGGTGTTATTACCGGTTCGGTGACTATGTTTTGCTGTGCGCACATGTAAAAAACCTTAAGCTCTGCCACCCAGACACTGAAAAGCACTGTGCGCAGGTGCTCAGCATTTGAAAAGCCACTTTTTACAACCTCAGCTGTCCCGCGCAAAGCAGCTGAGGTTGAAAGAGCAGGAAATAAAGGAGAGGTAAGAGCGCGGGTGGGTGGGCCACACAGCAGCAAACACAGAACCAGTTTGGTGTCTGCTGCTCTTCAGAGCTACCGGTTCTATAGAGCCAGGCAAAACCGGTAGCATCCCCCTGGTTTAAACTTAACTGATTAAATATTGATGTGGATGAACTACGAATATCTACAGCCGCATCAGACTAGGTCTCTCTAGTTCTGTATGATGTACACATATAGTAGCATAGTAACTGCTCTCCAGAGGCAGGGTTTTTACAAGTCATTCATAAGTCTAAATGGACAGCCCAGAGACTGCACATGTAAAGCATCTGATACAGAGTTATCACCTCCTTTTAGTATCTTTAATAAAAATAAATGTGTTTTCTTCTGGAACAAGATATGTTGCTTGAATTTAAAGAAAGTTAATGATCGGCATTCACTGTCCCAATTTCCTGATTCATCAGAGCGTGTAACTGAAGTGAAGACTGACGTCTTTGTTACCAGCTTTGGTCCTGTTTCAGATCACGATATGGTAAGTAATGCTCTATTGCCTTCTGGTATGTTAAGAATTGTTTAGCCTTCAGGAACAGTGTGGAATTCTGAATGTACCTATCACTTCTCGTGTCCAAAAATCTTTCTACATCTCAGTTGTTACAGTTTTACAGCCTTGCAATTTCTGAGTGCGTTGAGACATTCATCTTGAATGCCATCCACAGTTTAATGATTCAATTCATTTGAAACATTTATAATATTTGGTTCATTCCATGGCCGAGGAATAGCAAATGGAAGGGAAACATGCCATGTGAGAATGGGCCGTTTGAAGCCTAAACCATCTTATAATCTTTATAATAAAGATTGGAATAAATTCTTTTTTCTTATGATTGTTCAGGCCAATGATCAAAATAGTAGTAAAATAATTCTACATCGCTTCATGTCTCATTTGTTATTTAAAAGATTGGTCTTCCATTTATATTTTTTGATTATGAAGAATTCTTTTTTTCTCTCCCTATAAACATTTTGTAATTCTGAGGTCAGGCTTGACTACATAGAACTTTAAAAGCTGGGCAATAAATTGTGAGGTTTTAAAGTTCCAGCTTAGGACTGATTCTGAGGAATTTCATTATATATTATCTGCTGGAACAAAGCCACAAGGAAGCACATTTGAGTCAAAGGAATTTGCCTACATTCTGGCTGCTGATGAACAAACATTATTATATAAGATGTGTTAGTAATAAAATAAATGAAAGATTTAAGAGAAACCAATAAAGTTGGTAAAAACATTTCTTTATAACCTGGGTTTTATTACACACACACACACACACACACACACACACACACACACACACACACACACACACACAGTGTTTTTGGACTGGCTGGGGAGTTCTGGGAGTTGAAGTCCATACATTTTAAAGTTACTTGAGTTTAAGAAACAATGTACTCAAACAATTAATAGAAAAAGTAAGACCATTTCCCTACCCAAAATGGTAGAGCAAGCTACTAGATATAAATGGAGGAAACCTCATACTCACTAGCACTGAGGATGTTACCTAGTCATGTAATGAAACATGTGCAAATAAACAATCAAGCTCAGAAGGTACCAAGGACTCCATAGTTCAATCCTGAGCTACATATGTTATATTCTTTCCTATGGCCCTATTTCCCCAAACTATAGCAGCTCTCCAATTTAAACTGGCATGTCTATTGTAATCTGCATTTCCTCAGTAATGTAATGACTTATTTTACATTGATGAAATTTTCTGTCCACTATGACAGCATAGTCATTACCTTATGTACATCTTTCTGGGAATTTATTATGTTCCTTTAATTGCTGAGAATCTTCTAGGTGTAACTCCATAGCTAAAGGATGATGAGGCAGATAGAGCATCCAGATCCTTTAGATTAATGTGTGTGTGTGTGTGTGTGTTCTATGTAAAGTTTTATGATGAATGTATTTTACAATGACTATGTTAATGATATCACTATTGTTCTATGTTCATTGAGAGCTTAAGCACTGGAAACAAATTTCCTGTGTGTCTGTCTAATCACTCTTGGCCAATAAAGAATTCTATTCTATTCTATTCTATTCTATTCTATTCTATTCTATTCTATTCTATTCTATTCTATTCTATTCTATTCTACCTCTACCTCTACCTCTACCTCTACCTCTACATCTACATCATCTCCATCTCCATCTAAATCTATCATCATTATCATCTTTCTAGCAATTGTCTATCCAGTGCAGGATGAAGGCCACTTCCACGTGTTTCCAACCAATATGGTCTTGAATATATATATATATATCCTGAGGTTCTCGCGGGTATTTGTATGTGGATCTTTGGTTGTTCGGGTTTTCTCCCGCATAAAATTGGAAGTATCTAGGCGACGTTTCGATGAAATCTCATTCATTATCTTCAGGCTTGTGTCTTCGGCTTTGTGCTTCTCAGAGTAATTACTCCGAGAAACACAAAGCTGAAGACATAAGCCTGAAAATGATGAATGAGACTTCATCGAAACGTCGCCTAGATATTTCCAATTTTATACAGGAGAAAACCCGAATAACCAAAGAGAGAGATAGATAGATAGATAGATAGATAGATAGATAGAGAGAGAGAGATAGATAGATAGATATATTTGTTTTCTTAAGTTTTCGTGGGTACTTACATGTATGGCATTCAGCTTTGTTCGGGTATTTTCCCACGTCATTGTAGTTGTGCTTTTAAAGTTGTAGCAACGTTTTGGCAGAATCTCATCTGCCATTATCAGGCTTCTGTATTGTGTTCGTCTGTGAGTCAGACTTTCACAGCTGTTTCAGTTTTAAATTTTAAATGGCTGTGAAAGTGTGACTCACAGAAACCTGGCTTCCTAATAAATGATAGCCGTCCATTTACCCGAAGCCAAGCCGCACTAAAAGCCTCCAATACAGGAAACACAATGTTGCCAGCTAATCAGGACATAAAAACCCTACAAAACAGACAGAAGATATACATATATTACATGCACACACACACACACACACACACACACACACACACACACACAAGTCATGAGGGGTACTACATAATATATAATGTAATGTAATGAAGGCCCCAGCTTTCTTACACAACCTGATTTAGGTTGGACTCAAAGGAACAAGAAAAAATAAGCTTTCTCAATAACAATGTTCTTTTCCCCCTACTTTGTAGTTTTGCCATAAAATTTAATGTAGTCTGCAATAACAATAAGCTGGGAGTTAGGGTACAATGACAGGGTTTTACAGGAGAACCTGGAATTTTCAAGAGAATGTTTAGCTTCACAGATATGTAGCTAGAAATATGTCTGTCCCTTCTTTCTTGAGTAATATCATTTGCAGAAAACTAGCTCCCAAATCTTTTGAACTAAGAGTCAAACTCCTCAGCTGTAGCAGAATTTTCTGGAACTCATTAATAGCCATTGTAAAATTATTCACTGTTGCACAGCAAAAATTCTTTTTTTTAAAAAAAGGACCTGGGAACTTTCAGGTGAATTTGTAATGTGAATTTCAGCAAGGAGTTGCACAGAAATCCTTCCTTGCCCATCTATTTGTAGTCCTGGTTTTAAGATCCTATTATAATGTTGCTATAAGGTTAGTCTATGCATAGTGCTCTCATTCAGCAGCAAAGTACTTCGATGGAGATGCTTTTAGTCTAAACTGCAGTACAATCAGTGACCTCTGCTGACAGATATGTGATTAAATTACTTTCTGAATTTAAAATGGCTTGAGGAGAAAAGTGGGTATCATCCAAACCTTAGCAGCAAATGGAGTGCTGCCATTTACATAAATGGCTGCACAAGCCACATTTTACAGTTCACATGACATAAGCAGCCCAACCATCCTCTTCTCAAGTCAATTTGCATAGATATATGCTCTCAGAGAAAGACAGAGAGATGGGAAAAAATAGCTGTTTGTCATACAGTAGACAAGAGCAAGGCTTTCAGTATGGTATTTTCACAGCTAGAGGGGGAATCTTGGAAACTGTAAGATTTTTCCACCTTCATATATTGTATAGTGAGTTAATTAATGTGAAGTCCCTCTGAATCCAGGGTGTCAAAATCACGGCCCGCGGGCCGGATGCATCCTGCGCTGGCGATGCCCACCCCTGGTTTAGTGAAAGGGAAAAAGTCATGATATGTCACTTGATGAGAACAGGATGCCACGAGTTTGACACCTCTTATCAGCTCTGAATGATTTGAAATGCTTCTACGCATTTTTTTCCACCTGGGCTAAGTTGTTTTATACAAAAACCTGTCAACCAATTTGTTTGCTATCTTGTGATTGTCTATGTCTGCCTTCTCTTCCAGTCCTCCCCTCCCCATAGTTTCTTTCACTGTTGATAAATTTCAGGAATTCTCAAAGTTTGTGGTGAACTGACTCCATGAATGAAGGCAATGAATCAACTCCATATAATGTTAAAATCTCTTTCCCGATCATTTAGGGAAAGTTATTGTATCATTTACTTCCTTAGATGTTTTAGATTTAAGCAAGAAATAGCCAGATAAACCATGCTATTTATTTTGAATAATTAAATTTCAAGCTATATATCAAATAAAACAATGATTGAACTCTAAAAATTTTCAAAAATCAAGCCTTTTAACTGGAAATGAAAAATAAACTTCAAGTTTAAAATTATATTTAATAGGATGAGTTTTGCATTAGTTCTGAAATGTAAGTTTTAGTTTGGAGATGGTGTTTCTTAATCATTTAGAATTTCTGCTGGTTCTTTAGAGTGGCAATTTCAGAAAATCCTAAATTTGTTGCCAGCTGTCTGAGCACCACAGGGACATTTGCAGCCAGTGATCCAGCTTTGCATATGTAAGCTATCAGGCTGTGCTTCAGCCGTTACTTTTATTTAGCTTGGACAAGCTGGCCGCTGGCTTGTTAAACTAAAGCTTGTGACGAAAGTTAAAAATAACAAACAAAGAAAAAAATTTATATCAACATGTAAAAAGAAAAAATCCCAAGGTAATGATTGGTTCATTAATGAGAGAAAGTGGCAAAAAGGTGGCAAGCAATAGGGAGAAAGCAGAACTGCTTATCTCATTTTTTGCATCCGTCTTTACACAAAAAGAAAAAAAAAACAGTCCAACCTATCAAAAACAGTACCATAAAAAACAGATTAGGAATACAAGCAGGGGTGGGATTCAAATTTTTTAACAACCGGTTCTGTGGGCATGGCTAGGTAGGCATGGCCATGTGACTGGGTGGGCGTGGCTTTTTTGCAGCATCTGCCCCCCAATTTTTTTGCATCCTGGGCCTCAGTTTAGCCTCTTGGGGGGGTGTTTTGCTCCCAGGAAGCTTCCCTGGGGCCCAGGAAGGCAAAAAATGGAGCATGGGGGGACACGTAACACCCCCTGTGCTCCATTTTGGGCCTCCTGGGCTTCAGGGAAGCCTTCCAGGGAGGTGTTTTTGCTCCCAGAAGGCCTAACCCCCTCCGAGCACCCCTTTTTGCCTCCTGGGCCTCAGGGAAGCTTCCTGGGCAAAGCAGTAAGACACCGAGGGGAATCCTGGCACAGCTGATCATCAGAACATTTGATTGTCAGGAGGGGAAAGAAAAGAAATACCTCAGGGAATGACTGGGGGGAGAATGTAGTCAGCGATGTCAGGCATGCACACGATGTCGGGCATGCACAATAAGGACTGACTGGGTGGGGAGGGGAGGGTGGAGAGAGATGGGGCCAACCAGGGGCATGATTTGATGGTTCTTCAAACTGCGCAGAATCATAACAACCAGTTCTATAGAGCTGGTCTGAACCAGTAGAATCCCACCCCTGAATAGAAGCTAAAATATGCAAGAAAATTGTAAGTGAACACCTGCCCACCTTAGATGAGTTCAAATCACCAGGACCAGATGGATTACACCCCAAGATACTGAAGGAACTGGCAGATATGTTCCTCAGAACTACTGAACTATATCTTCCAAAGATCTTGGATCACTGGGAAATTACCAGAGGAAAAGAGCTGATATAGTTCCATCTTCAAAAAATGAGAAAAAAAATAGATCCAGGAAAATACAGACTTATCAGCCTCACCTCAATACTGGGAAGATTCTGGGAAAGATAATCAAGTAACAAATCAGTGAACACCTAGAGGCAAAAAAAAGCCATAACCAAAAACAATCATGCCTCTATGTTTGTCAAAAACAGATCATGCCAGACAAACCTTATTGCATTCTTTGACAAAGTGATAAAATTAATTGACCAGAGGAATGCTGTGGATATGATTTACTTGGACTTCAGTAAAGCATTTGATAAAGTAGATGACAACCTAAGATAGAAAAATGTGGGTTGGACATCATCACTAGATGGATTCGTAACTGGATGACCAACCACACTCAATGTGTACTCCTCAATGGGACTGCATCTACATGGAGGGAAGTATGCAGTGGGGTACCCCAAGGCTTTGTTTTAGGCTCAGTACTCTTCAATATCTTCATCAATGTTTTGGATGAGGGGATAGATAGGAAGCTCAACACATTTGATAGGAAGCTGCCAGGAATAGCCAACACTCTAGAATAGGAGCTTAAGGTATAGAAGGATCTTGACAGACTTGAACATTGGGCACTATCTAACAAAATGAAATTCAATAGTTTAAAAAAAGTAGGGTTCTATATCTAGGCAAGAAAAACCAAATGCACAGGTATAGCATAGATGTACATGGCTTAATAGTAGTAACTGGAAGAGGGATCTTAAAGTTATAGCAGACAATCACTTAAATATGAGCCAGAAGTGTGCTGCAGCTGCCAAAAAATCCAACTGTCAACCCACATCTCAGTCAAAACAAGGCACATTCCATCAAAATCTCCATGGCTATCTCTGTGGAAACCCACAGTGGCTGAAGGGAGGGACTTTTACAACCTGCAAAATTGCTTTCTTGGGGAATGTGACTGATGACACATATTGGAGGGAGAGGGAAACAGGGTCAAAGGCAAAACACGAATTAACTGAGGCCAGAGTTGGCTCCACCTGGTTTGTGCTGGCATGAAGCTCCTAATAAATAACTGGATTTCTTTTGAAGCTTCGCTTGAGACTCATAACTTAATTAGGGTATCTGTCAGAAACCTGACACCAATACAGTTCTAGGCTCAGAATCACAGGGACAGAATCAAGATCATGTGAAGTGTTAATAACATTTTATAATGCCTTGGTAAGATTGCACTTGGAATACTGCATCCAGTTTGGGTTGCCATGATGTAAAAAAGATGTTGAGACTCTAGAAAAAGAACAGAGAGGAGCAACAAAGATATTAGGGGACTGGAAGCTAAAACATATAAAGAACAACTGGGTATGTCTAGTTTAATGAAAAGAAGGACTAGGGGTGACATAAAGCAGTGCTCCAACATTTTAGGGGTTACCACAAAGAAGAGGGAATCAAGTTATACTCCAAAGCACCTGAAGACAGAACAAGAATCAATGGATGGAAATTAATCCAGGAGATGGAGTAATAATTCGTAAATTTTTTGAATGCACAGAAATGGATAGACTCACCATGGAATTGAATAACAAAGAGGACTCAGAATACTATACAATTTGGAATAATTGGTACCAATGGATAGGTACAAAACATGAAAGATATAGGTTAAAAAGAGAAAAAAAATATTTTGTATGCTTGTATGATCAATGAGAATCTTTTGAAATGGATGGACATTTGGAATGTATAAATGCAGCCAAGATTTTGTACTGTCAAGAAAACGATGGCGAAATATACCAACATACTTTTCTTTTATTGATATATTTGTATATATTTTAATATGTTAATTTTCAAAAAAGGTTTTTCTTTAATTAAAAAAAAGGAAATTAATCCAGGAGAAAAGCAAATTAGAACTAAAGAGAAATTTCATGCTAGAACAATTAATCAGTGGAACAACTTGCCTCCAGAAGTTCTGAATATTCCAATACTGGAAGTTTTTAAGAAGGGATTGGATAACCATTTGTCTGAAAGGTAGACTGGGAACATGTTTTGATCCTGCTTTAAGTGTAGAAGCCCTACCAGAATTTGGGCCAGACTATGCTCTCTGTGCAAAGGCAGAGACTATAAAATTCTGCTTTTTTTGGTGTATTTTCTATTTCTTCTAACCGAATAACTCCTTTAAATTTCTTTTTCTAAATAAAGAAGCCCTGTTCAAACTTGAAACTCCCTCAAATTTGCTTGTGATTTCCTGGAGTTGTGACCCAGAGCCTGAAAATTTTATCTTAAAAGTGGGTTGGCTTTGAAACTGTTGAAATAAAAAAAAAATCATTTTATAAGACATAATTGTGCTAACCAAAATTTGTTGGAAGTTTTAGGAATCCATTTTTTTTCAGAAGAAAGGGCTACCCTTATTCATACTTCTGTTCATCTGTTTTATAACTTGCACAAATGACAAAACACAGATGTACAGTATGATCCGGTTAAAGCTCAGTATTGTTCGGAAAGCCTTGTGCTCTTCAATGGGACTATTCACAAATGAAGTAGTTTCAAAGCTCACAATTCTCTAATTTTAGGAATATACAATAGATGTATTTTTCCGACAAAGCTGGAAAGATGAAAGGCTGAAGTTCAAAGGACCAATGCAAGTACTCCGACTGAATAATTTAATGGCTAGCAAAATATGGACACCAGATACATTTTTCCACAATGGAAAGAAATCAGTCGCTCACAACATAACTATGCCTAACAAACTTTTGCGGATTACAGAAGATGGGACACTGCTTTACACAATGAGGTAAGAGAAAGGGATGTAGTATTTTATTTATGAAAAAAAAACCTCTACATACTTTTCAAGATAAGTGTTTTTTTGTTTTTGTTTATGTTATTTTGCTTTAATGAGTTATACATTTTCCAAGATTTACATTAGATAGTAAAATATATACATCCTTAAAGGAATCAATTGAATGTAGCTGTTTTAAGCAATTTTTCTTCTAATTTGTACTTGTCTTTCATTTTCTCTTTGAGCTTACTACATTCATTGGGATAGAAGCAAAAACACCATATTTTATTTTAACAAATTTGGAGATTAGTCTCCTGTTACAACTCAACCTTATGGAGTGGCAGTTTGCATAATGTAAACAATTATGTTTTATTAATCTATTATTTGTAAATGGAAAGTAGGACTTTGTTTCACTATATTGATTTCAAGGGGGAAAATGATATATTTTGTGCTCCTTTTATAATCAAGTAAAATACATGTTGGATGGAACAAGGATAGGGGACATTTCCGGTTCTTGGCCAATTTCAAACAAAGTCCCTATTGTGGAATAGAATAAAGGAATATCTTGTGTAACTGTGAGTCTCGGAAATTAGATGAAGTTTGATTTAAGAATGTTAATATAAACACTCTATAAAAATGTATTCTTTGTGCTCAAATAGTGGAAAAAAATGGGACAATTGGGGGGCATAAAACAACCCTGGCATAAATCTATCTTAGCATGATGCATATTATGCATCACAGAGAAATACTTTTGAATTACACATTGCAATTACCTGTTTTCAGAAATGGGACTTGATGTCGATACTGGAATAAGTGTTTGCTATTTAGGGCAAAAAGTAAGATAAACTTTGAGGTTTTGGGTTTTTTAGTGAATTCTTGTATAGAACAAAAAAATGGACTTTTAAACCAAGTGAATTTTTTTTAGTTAACCTTGCTCCACACAATCATTTCATACAGTTTGTTAACCAAATGCACTAAAATATTCTATTACCATTTTCATCAAAGCCACGTTATATTCTATATCTGTTCTAATGCTTTTGGCCTGTTTGCAGACTTACAGTGAGAGCAGAATGCCCAATGCATTTAGAAGACTTTCCCATGGATGCACATGCTTGCCCATTAAAATTTGGAAGTTGTAAGTTGACTTTGATAATTATTTTCTAGCTTTTCCCTTTCTGTGGGCCATTGGCCAGTTAGACAGGGACTTGGCTTACAGCCAAGGTTAAGTAATAACTAGCAGTCAGCATGGGTTTGTTAAAAACAGATCTTGCCAAACCAATCATTTCATTCTTCAACATAGTGACTAAATTAGTAGACCAGCAAAATACTGTGGACATAATATATTTAGATTTCAGCAAGGCATTTGACATAGTAGACCACAACCTACTTCTTAGTAAGCTAGAAAAAAGTAGAATAGATAGCACCACCACTAGATTGATTCGCAAGTGGCTGGCAAACCGTACTCAACAAGTAGTCCTTAATGGGTCTAAGTCTACATGGATGGAAGTAAGCAGTGAGGTGCCACAAGGTTCCATCTTAGGCCCAGTACTCTTCAATATCTTCCTTAACGACTTAGATAAGGGAATAGAAGGGGAACTTACCAAATTTGCAGATGATACTAAGCTGGCAGGAATAGCTAACATCCAAGAAGATAGGCTTAAGATCCAGATGGATCTTGACAGACTAGAACACTGGGCCGTATCTAACAAAATGAAATTCAATGTAGAGAAAAGTAAAGTCCTCCACTTAGGCAAGAATAACCAAAAGTACACATATAGACTAGGTGAAACCAGGCTCAATAGCAGTAACTGTGAGAGGGATCTTGGAGTCTCCCAGCTAAATATGAGGCAGCAGTGTGCAGCAGCAGCCAAAAAGCTAATGCAATCCTAAGTTGTATTAAGAGAGGGATACAATCAAGATCAAGGGAAGTACTAATACCACTCTATAAAGCCTTAGTAAGACCACACCTAGAGTACTGCATCCAGTTTTGTTCACCATATTATAAAAAAAATGTTGAGACGAGCAACCAGGACGATTAGGGGACTGGAGGCAGGAATGGTTGCAGAAACTGGGCTTGGCTAGTCTAGTAAAGAGAAGGACCAGGGGAGACATGATAGTGGTCTTCCAATATTTGAGGGGCTGCCACAGAGAGGAAGAGGTCAATCTATTTTCTAAAGCATCTGTAGGTCAGATAAGGAATAATGGATGGAAACTGAACCAGGAGAGATTTAACCGGGAATAAGGAGAAACTTTCTGACAGTGAGAACAATCAACCAATGGAACAGCTTGCCCTTGGAAGTTGTGGGAGCGCCATCACTTGAGACTTTCAAGAAGAGATTGGACTGCCATTTGTCAGAAATAGTGTAGGGTCTCCCACTTGGGCTAGATGACCTACAAGGTCCCTTCCAACTCTGATTACCTGTTATCTGCTATGATACTTTCTAGTTATTGCAGCTTTTTGCAGATAGCTACATGGGTAAACATAATACAATATTTAACTTGGACATGAAGAAACTTGAGGAGGACACTGTGATCCCTCAATTCTGCTTATCTGTGGTTATATCTTATTGCAGAAAGTATATCTTTAGTGACTTTATTAATGCATACATAAAATATAGGATTTACAAGATTGATTGACTGTCAATCTGTAGGCTATCTCAATTGTTTTCTGACATTCTGAACTGTAGATAAGAAATAGAGACAAACAGGATATTTTAAACAGCAACAATGGAGGGGGAAAAAAAGCATTTGTCCAAACTGACATGGACAGGGATATTAAAGAAACTTTGGAAATGTTTTTTTTTTTAAACCAACTAGATGCTTACACGAAATCTGAGGTAATATATGAATGGACCCATACCCCTGCACATTCTGTTGTTGTTGATAAAGGTAGCTCTCGGCTGAATCAATATGATCTCATGGGACAAACAGTGGATTCCGGAATTGTGCAATCCAGCACAGGTGGGTACAAAACCCCAGAGCTGCTATATGTCCATTGCTTGTACCACAGCAGTTTTATCTCAAAAATATGATGTCTTAGATGAGTATGACATTCTATTAAAGTCCCATCTTTCGGTTGTTTTTTAAAACAAACAATTCCTAATTTGTGCTGCATTCTAAAAATTGTGCATGTCCCACTGAATATATTTTATTTAAATGTATCGTAGTTTTGCAGTGCCCCTGAGAAACAAAACAATTGGCTGTATTCAATGTTCTCGCCAGGTTCAGATCTCATTAAACCTAGCAAAGAAAACTATAAGAATCTTCCACCTTTCATCCAGGTTCATTACATCTTGCACAGCTTGATATCCTCTATGAACAGTAAAGCTCAACACATGTTGCTTATAGCTACACAAACTGGATTTTTCAAGGCAATCAATTAGTTTATTTTCTTGTAACACAAAAAAGGAAGAGTCTGAAAAGAAAAACATATTGAGACTGTTGTAATAGGCAAGATGCTGCTCAGGGTGAATATTCAGCAATATAAACTTAATCAATGCCCCTTCCCTCAAAACAAAACAAAACAAAACATAAGCTTCTCAAGGAACATGTCTTAATCCTTTGAAGGTACAAAAATATGTGTAGGCTTTTGAGACATTGGCATGGTATGGACATGGACCTTGAAACATGGTAATGTCTAGAATATAAATCAATATGAATATCTAATAAACTGATCCTTGGAAGCTTTTTTAAATAATACCATAAATTTCAGAAATGTTTCATTCTACAAAACTTTTTTTTGTTCCTATTCTACAAAAGAATATTATTCTATTTTAGTACAGTAAAACTGTACAGCCACTAGAGTAAGCCCAAACCATCCTTATATGTACATAACATTTTCTTTCATCAGTCATGAATGAAAAGGCAACCAAAAACTTCACAATTGCTTGACCTGCAATCTACATCTTCAAAAAATGAACAAATAAAATTCCCTTAGAGAAACAGAAATTAAAAACTACTTTAAATAATCACACACACCCCAAAGTAATCTTAATGGAAAGATCCTTGTTAGCGTTCCAGCCTTATTCACAGCATTTTATACATATTGTCAAATATGAGGCAGCTCGGGAGGTGTGTGTGTAATTGCAAAGGTATCAAAACAAAATTAATATCATAGCCTAAAAGACATTAATCATGGTTATTTATGGTTAATAACAAGTTCTGCATTAAGTTGGCACTGATTAGTAACAGAAAGCATTCAGTAAAACCACTAGAAGCACTGTTATTAGAAAGGGAACAATTTCAATAATTACATTTAAAACATGATTATGGTGTTCCGTTGTAGTAGTGATAGTAGTGGTAATAACAGTACAAAATAAAGAAAAATGAAATTAAGTTGTAAAACAGGAAAGAAAAATGGGTAAAAGGAAAACTATGTCTATAGATACTGACACATAATTGAAATTTATTTATTTATGAATTTAGTGCAGTGGATTTCAGGAAATTTAAGACTCTGAATCGATACCTTAGTTTAGTCGGTTTGCAGAATATGGCTGTCTAAAAGACTTCCAATACTTTATAGTTATTAGGATTACAATTTAATGATTTTGTGAATGGAATGCAAACAAAAAATACAATAGTTGTGTGCTATAATTGTATTATTCATGGTTCTCTTGTATATTGCTGAACTGAAGCAATTTGTAGAACTAACCTCAAAATATAATGAAAATTGCTTAAATACTTGGGTAGTTAATGTTTTATAAAGTCAGCTAACAAATTTTATATGTTAAAAATGAAATTGTAAGTAGAACAGTCTGAATCAAATTTCTTAGAACTTTTACAAAATGAAAACTAGTCCACTTTAACGGGATTTGCTCCATTCTGTGGTGAAAGCTGGACAAACACTATCCATCAAACATAACTGAAATGAATGAAAACTGAGCAGGAGTACATTTATTTCGATGGATATTTTTCTCATTTTGCTAGTGAGACCACTTTTGTGATAGGAGATTGGCAGTACAGTTTTTGAAATCATGATAAAATGGCTATGCTGCACTTTCCCTATTGTATGGATTTAGAAATAATGGTTCCTAAGGCTGGATATAAGAACCTGTTTGTAGTTTGCTTATCTGAAGACCTTGAGGTGTCTATTTCAGAATGCTCTTACCTAACTCATACTTCATGAGTTGACAAAAATGTATGGATGGGGAATTGGAATGAGATTAGGATTATGGCAATGATGATGTTATGGCACTAGCTGGGTAAGAAAAGGTCTACAAGCAAATAATCAAGTTCAAAGAGTACCATGGACTCTTTAGGATTATGTTCAAACATTATAAGCAAATGTTAGCAAATGATCCAGCAAATATCAAACAAAACTTAATGTTCCAGCAGTATATTTGCATTAGCCCAACACTGAAATAATTAAAATTTTGGACTGGGCCAAGGTAGATTCATATCCAGGTTTTTCTTCAACATAGAGTTCACTAGATGATTGTATTTCACAAGACTGTACAGGGCATAAAAAGAGAGGAGACCATCATATTCATTGCAAAATTCACAAAGAAGGATGGGCTAAACAATTATCATTGTCAGCATCAAAAGAATGATGATGACATCATTCTTGTTGTTCATCCAAGACAACAGTGCCTGATCTTGAATAGAACCAGACCGAAATTAGATTTTTCAAATCCCCAGGATTATTTCATATGTCAGTTCTAATTTTGGAAGAAGACTTATTTGATTTCAACCTTCTCACTTCTTTTTTCAGCTAACATTTGTTTTGCTTTGCTTCTGTTTTGTCAGTGCTGAATATAATGCCATATTACTAGTACCCTAAGGAATTTGATCTTTTCAAGATATTAAAATTTAAACTAAAAGTCATAGAAGATAAAAATAAAAATGAGATGCTTGTTTAATTTTGTGAAAACACTCATTTTACAAAAGCCATTAAATAGTGAACAGCCACCACCAATGTTTAATAACTGAATACTTTCCCTTGATTTACAAAACAAACAAACAAAAACAAGAAATCTAAAAGTGGCACAGTGAGGAGAAAGAGAATGGGATCAAAAGTAGCTGTAGATTAATTGCCTCTCATTAAATTAAGTCAGCCCATTCATTCTTCCTGCAGATTGTTCTATGCCAAGCTCTGTAAGCATTCAATTATAAAACTAATGCATTAGATAGTCTGATCATCATTAGGGCTGCACAAAACCATTCAAAGAGGAGCTCTGCAAGGAAAGCAGGCTAATCCTTTAAAACCATTGCTTGAAGCATCAAAAAGTCATAGTCTGTTATAGGTCATCCCAGCTAGTTTATGGCCTTTTCTTGACCAAAACAAAGGGATGTCATTTGGACTGATTGAAGATTTGCAATATCAACATGCATTGCCCAGGAATGATGCTTCCACACTTCAAGAAGCCAACTCAGATGATGGCTTAGTACAATGTCCTCCTAAATCATTTTGTATAAGCCTAGTGAGCATAACAACATAATCTTAATTTTTTTCATTCTTTCTGGATATAAAAAAAGAATCTTATTTTTATGTTACAGGCCATCATACCACATGTATGGCTTTCAGGCCTACATATAACAACAGGAACTGTGGTTGAATCTCCAGGTACCGCCAAAAATAGTTACTAGGTTGACATTTTAAGTGAAAGGAGAATAATCATGTGAACAGTATGACTCCTTAATTAGCTACAAATGATATGAAATCCAAGTGTTGGGTTTCATCCACACATTTTCATAGTGCAGTTCTCAACATGTCATTCAAGGACCAACTAGTTCCTTTAATTCACAAAAGGCTCACCATCCCTACTGCTACAAGGAAGATGAGCTATGTACATCCTGATGACTAGCAAGTAGACAAAGAAGCTATGAAAAAAGAACAGATATTGGAGAAGTATTCTTTACCTCTAAATGTCACAATTGGCAAATGTAGTGAGTAGCAAACTATATTATTGAGGTCAAATAAATCACAAGCAGAAGAAAGGAGAGAAAATCCTGAGTTGCTAGCAAAATCCATTGAACTGAGGGAAAAGATTACTATTATTTATTAAATTTATTTGCCACCCATCTTGCCACAGGCGACTATGTTGTGTCTGCAACTAAGAATATTTTAGAATCAAGGTAAGGAGTTGTATGAATATCAAGGGGGGAAGGGGCTCTTTCTATTTTTTGCAGAATACTAACTCTTCCTTCTAAAAGACTAGAATGCAGAATCATTCTTGATGTTCAAGGTTAGTACTTGTGGAAATATATAATAATTTAATGGGACAAAGGTACACTAATTTCTGAATTACTGTATTTCTGATGGAAGACTTCCAAGGAATTCTTCCTCCCTTCTCCTTTATTTATATTCTAAGAAATGTCACTTTTTTTCTTTTGCATCCAGGGGAATACGTTGTGATGACCGTCTATTTCCATTTGAAGAGAAAAATAGGATATTTTGTCATTCAAACATACCTGCCATGCATAATGACAGTAATTCTATCCCAGGTATCTTTCTGGCTTAACAGAGAATCAGTTCCAGCAAGAACTGTGTTTGGTGAGTGTCTTGCATTACATAAATATGTTTGAATGCATGTAACTTTAATACTCTTTAATTAAAATATCACACTTAAGATGCTATGGCAGCAGTATTTTGTCTCAGTGAGGCATTTTTTAATGCAAACGTGAGATAATTTGTCTTGGTGAAGTGATGCATTTGCTTCATTGGGGTATTTGGACCTGTTGGGCAAGGGTTTAGAATGAAGGAAGAAATCTGTCTTGCATTGCAATAGGGAAGTGGGTGGTATATGCATGTGAGAGAGCAAGAAACTTTGTAAAAGCAGGCAATAATTGTAAGCTTTGTACACTATCAATAACACTAAAGCATAATGTGACTGACTTGTTTGTTGTTGAACTAATTACTGCCATTTTGCATTAGTATTTTGTATGAACAAAACACTAATGCATGGAATTAAATCAATAAGCTATGATTTTAAAATTCTGATTCAACATTCATTGATTTATTAGATAATTTGAAATTCAGTTCAATTAACAAAAGTTTGGTGAGGTTTTTAAAACATTTTTATTGATAAAGTGAATTCTAAGCAAATTTCTTCCATGAGTATGTTTCATATCTGGAATATTGAGGCAGATAGGTGAGCTTTTGGCGATGGGAAAAGACTTTGAACTGGTCTTTCCTACTTGGTTTATTCAGATAGTCATATGCTAAGTTGTTTAGGGATTTAAAGGCCAACATGAACTCTTTAAAATGTCTGGTAGACAAATAGTGTCCAATCAAATCTTTAAAACAGGCATCATATAATCCATATATTGGTAAACCAACTGCAATTTCTAGATCTTTTTCAAAGACTCCCCAAAACAGTACTGCAAGTGACTAAGGTGTGGCTAACCATCACTAATTCCAATCAACCCAAGAAAAGCTGAGGTTGATATATTAGTTGAAGTTAGGTAAATGCATTCCACATATTATCCGTCAACTGCAAATTTAGTGTCAGATGGACATCAGGTAGAACATCCAAAGTGTGAACCTGGGTTTTCTGGACAAACTCATTACCCTTCAATGCACGCTTCATTTCAGTCCCAAAGTTTAACTTTCTTGTTACCAAAATGGCTTCTAGGACTGTTTGAATTTAATTTTGGCTTGTCTGAATGATTCCTGGTGAAATCTGTGTGACAACCTAACTTAGTCAATGGATACCTAATTACAGGAATAGTTGATTTACATTTGAGAAAAGTTCCAGCCCAAATCTGAGTATGACATGATCCAACCTATTGTTTGCATTGATATGTTATATATCACAGCCCTTGGTTTCCTAAAAGTGTTACATATAGGCTTTGGGTGCCAAAATTAACCTCTCACTAATTTGGAGTTCATTCAATTCTTCTCTCCCTTAACTATCCATTATGTTCTATTGGATTCATTGGGTTTTCTATGTGAACTTTTGTCCATTTTGAAGTTGGGGTGAAGATGATTTTTTCCCTCCTATAAGTATGCTTCAAATATTTTGTGTAAGCACCTGAAACTAGAGAGATAGAAAGTAAAGTTTGATCAAATAGCTTACAATTATAAGAATGGTTGGACCCATCACCATTATATAACTGAATTAAAATAATTTAAAATCCTTTCTCTGAGTAAAATTGTAAAGTTGGGGGTAGTGGTAGTAGCAATAGTAACAGTCTGAGCCATTTCAGAACAGAATTGATGGAAAATGGAAAATCAGATTATTTTCTATAAATAATGCATCTGAATATGGGTAGTGCAAGATATTTTTGATTGCAGTAAGTTTTGGCTAACAAATGTCACAGTGAAAATATACTCTAGCAGATATTTAATACATGAGATATCTGCAGTTGTCAAGGTAACTGGTGGGCAGTGATTTAAGGCAACGGTAGAAAGATGCAGACTTTTTACTCTTAGTAAAAGCTCAGTGGTTAGTTAAAACTATTCTACAGCAGGCGAGGAACAGTGCTTTAGAATATGCAAAATATATTGTCACAATGGCATCTTTCCTCATCTCTAACTCAATCAATATTAATAGCTAGCTTTTGAATCTGAGCTGAACAGTTGCAAAAACCAGCTGGAGAATTCATGGTAGGTTTCAGAAATGAGCTAGTGAACAGAAAATACCTTCCATCTCTCTTTTAGATTATTATATCAGAGCAAATCACATTGTAACTTTAATTCATCTCAAACAATTGGTTTTCTGTCAAACTAAACCCATCTAAGAGATATAAACAAAATGACACAACATCAGTGATAAATAAGTAGTAAAGTAAAACCTTAATACAGTCCCAAATTTTGAGTGCAGTATGAACACTTGTCACTAGTAGACTATCTCACCCTGTCCAATGAATTGTCCAATTTCCCATTTCATTCACTTTTATTACCCTCTGGGTGCAATTTTAATTCACCACCCATTATTAGTTTTCAGACAGAATGGAAAATATGTCATAGGAAGATCATTGCAAATTAGTCTAAGATGATAACAAACAACTTGCCCTTCTGGTTGAGACACAACTACCACAGTCCCTTAATATACACCTGATTATCTAGGACTAGTGAGAGTCTGCCTCTACTCTAAGTTCTGAATCTTCATGTCTACATACATTTATCCAGGAAAAATCACCAAATGAAAAATTAGAATCTAGTGTGAACCCATATACATTTGCAGACTACAACTTTCAGTATCTATTGCTTTCTATCAGTGAATTTGATGTGAATTATCTCAATTTCCCCAGCCTTATTAAAATAGCATTTGGGAATCAGAAAGATTTGATTTATTATTGATTGGAATATTTGATTGAATTTACAATATATTCCAGGTTTCTTCTGACAATAATTTAGTTACTTTTAGCAGGCTCAGGAAAACAAAGAGAGCCAGTTTGGTTAAGGTTGGATAAAGCATCAGGCTAGAAACTAGAAAATCATGAGTACTATGCCTGCCTTGGGCCAGTCATTTTTTTTGGCCCTAAGAAGGAAGCAATGACAAACCACTTCTAAAAAAGTTTGTCAAGAAAACAGCAGAGATCTTCAAGGACAAGAAAAACCTTTACCTTGAAGTGAAGGTAGCAACAAAATGGAAAATTTGGAAATATTGTTGTTTTGGTTTATTTCAGGTGTAACAACTGTGCTAACAATGACCACCTTGAGTATTAGCGCACGGAATTCTCTTCCCAAGGTAGCTTATGCTACTGCTATGGATTGGTTCATAGCCGTGTGCTATGCATTTGTCTTCTCAGCTTTGATTGAATTTGCCACAGTGAACTACTTTACAAAGAGAGGTTATGCATGGGATGGCAAGAGTGTAGTTCCTGTAAAGGTAATAAAACAGATCTTCATATATTTTATTTGTATTTGAAACGGTTGCTTCATATGCTATGCACAACATGTAGCGAGTAAGGAAGATGACTTTAACAGAAAAAAAACCTGTTTCTTCGTCAAAAGAGGCCAAAGGATTTTCTAAATCCAGAATGCTCCAATAACATTCAGAAGCAGCTCAGATACCTCCTAATTCCCTGAACTGTAAGAACAAAGAGGTACAGCATAATCAGCTTTTCAAAATGCTGTTACTATAGCAATCTCAATAGAAGTAGTTTCAATCTTCCTATGGAGTTGATGTCATGGTCTGATGTACCTAGTGTGTTTTACAAGTACAAACCTGCTAAACAAATGATCATACAACATTACATGATTATATTAATAGTAACCTATTGAAAAAAGTTTTCAGACTTGCAATATACAAGTTTATTTAAAAGTAAATCTTTTGAAGTTTCAAACCATTGGCTTAGATATCTGTCTGTACTGAGTTACTTTCAACTGTATTTTCACAATCACAAGGAAAGAAATATCAATGACTTTTAAAATAATCCAAAAGATAAAATTTCACTTTAGATATTAAGAAGCAAGTAATTTATTAATGCATTAGTTCGTTAAATAATTAAAATCATATAAATCTATATGGACATTTCATATAGTTTCAGGCTGTTTTCCAGATTGCTGTTAAGGACAAAATCACACATGCATGCTATTTACTCAGGGATTATCAGACAACTGCTGATATATGTGAAACAGCTATCACTCATCAGAATCCTCAAAAAGAATTTTCATACCACCCACTTATTACCATCTAAAAATAAGATTTTTCAATAGAGAAAATCAGGACATTCAGCAGCAAGTTGTTGAGTGATGATTCATCATGCCATAGGACATGAAGTGATGTATATGCATGTGAGATTCAGACTCTTGAATTTGGAAAAAAAATAATTGCAAAAAGGTGGAATTCTGACAACACGGGCAAGAAATAAGCTAGGCCTGGTTATTTCACACATACAGTAGCACTACCTGAATCTGACCATACTTGATAGAACCTAGAGCATAGGAGGTCTGATTTCCCCATCACATCCTCTTCAGAAGAAGCCTTTGAAGTGAGACTATTCTTTGGCTTCTAAAATGATCTCAACAGAAGTGTCGAGGCATCTGTCAATCACCCATGGTAGGCCAAGTCAAGAAATAAGCATAAGCAGGGATTACAAGAAAGATCTTCATTGTAGCAAGATAGAATAACAGAATCTTTAAAGCCTATCCAAATTTATCTGTCCTTTCTCACACTAAACAAAACCTAGGTAGGATCATTTGAGGTTTCTTCCTTATACTTTCCTCTTTCTCAGGATGGAATATCGCTCTCCCCACCCTCACTCTGAATTGCTCATTCCTTCTCAATTTTTACTATACATTCCTTCACAGAGTTTGTCAGCACAGTCTGTGAGTCTGACAGATCAGAAGTTAAATTTTACAAAACAAAGTTTAACCTTGGCTATCCAGTCCTATTTCTGCCAAGAAATTATGACCAAATTCAAGATGTCACCGTAGATCAATTTTGCCCTACCAAAAAGACCACTCCAGTCCCCAGATCAATGAAAGAAGTGAATGATATCTTGGATAACAAGCTGTCCAATAATGATCTCAATAACATATTGTTTCATTCGTTGGGGATTGTTTATAAGAATTAAGATGAAGTGACAAAGTTCTAGGGTCCTTTTTCCGTATGTAGGATTATAATGATATTGGAAGATTTTTTAAAAATAATAATAATAATCAGAAGGAACTTGGAAGCCAGTGCTGAACAAAATCAGTTAATCGAAGTATACTTGACCTTAAATAGATAATTTTTGGATCATGCTCTGCAAACGGGATTAATTTGTTTATTTTGCTTATTAGATGAAAATAGGCTGCACCTTTTATCTAAAAGATTTTTAAAGGATTTATTGTGTCCATGTATTATTTCTTAACTTCAAAACATATCACATTAATACAATTAAAATAAAAAATAAAAACTAAAATCAGCTATGAATATAGCTAACAATTAAAAGCTTGTTGAAAGAGATTTGTTTAGACAAGACTTTCATAAATATCTATTGATTTAATATTTAATTTCATCAGTTCCAGAGATAAATGTTAATACAGAGGGAAAAACTACAAGCCATCTGAAAAAAATACATTACTAGGAACTTCAAAAACAAATACACAACCAGTTAGGGTCCATCTTTGCCAGCAGCAGAAAGAACTTCCATGAGTACAGAATCACTACCAAAGGTGTTTTCTGACAGGTTCAAGCATAATACCAGAAACAAAAATGATTTGCTTCTGTCCAGAAGTAGAAGAAAAACAACTATGCAGAAAGTATGTGTTGGGGTGGGGGAGTTGGAAGGGGCAAGTTTTTTTTTAAAAAAAGAAATTGCCTATGCTGCTTACAGTGTTTGGTTATGTTTGCCCCAATACATAAATATTGAAAATATATATTTCTCTCTCTCTCTTTCTCTCTCTCTCCCTCCCTCCTTCCCTCCCTCCCTCAAAATAGAAATCAGTATCTAACATATTTGATGCCTTCTTTTTGTGCTAGTCAAGCTGCATTCTGGATAAGGGTCCTCCTGTCACATATTTGGCATGCTACTCCTAACTCTTTTTTTAAATATAATTTTTATTAAAATAAAATTTGGCATAAGATTGAAAAAATCTATAGAAAAATAAAATGAAAAGTAGAAATATGAAGTGTGAAAGAATAAAAGCAAGGACACAATAACAACAAAATAAATATTTGTAAAGAAATGATTTATAATCTTTGCAGCAGCAGTTACAATCATAGTAACTACCATTTTCACTCTCCCAATGTATAAGCAAAACTTTTGAATCAAGAAATCCTGAAATCATTAATTCATTTTTACCCATTCTCAGAAAAATATCCATAAAGGTTCAAATCTTTTAAAAACCAATAGTTCTTCCTTTTTTAATCAAACAAGGCAGTTTCTGCAAGCTCTTCATGATCCATTCCTCCATTAATTCCATATTTCTTCATTCTTTCATCCTTGTGCCTATAATAGCCATATTATAGTTGGTTGAGTAATATATATGCCATATTGTGTATAAATCTTTTCTAGATGACTTTCCATAGGCTCTAATAGTAAAATACAGGTTTAATTTGATTATTAATTTTTAAAATTCACTGCATCACCCATTCACAACTCTTTTTAATTGACAGCACAACTTTTCCATTCATATAACCTTTTGGAACTGATAGTAAAGTTCTATATCATAATATAGATATAGAGCTTTATCTATCTATGATAAACCAGAATGGGAACCATTTGATCAAATGAGATGTCTCTTTGTTGACAACTGAACAAGCACTGATTTATCAACAGAAAATATAGTATATTCCTGATTCTGTTTTCTCCTTGTCTACTTGACAACATACAATATCTGGACAAAGGGGAAAGAAAGTATTTTTAGACATGGCTCTCTGAAGGGCATATGAGCTGAACCAAGTATTTACGTTCCAGAGAAGTAATAGTTTTAAATGGGTGAAATGATGCGACATTTAAAATCTTGTGTTCTTTATTCTTAGCCAAAGAAAGTGAAGGATCCTCTCATTATGAAAAACAACTCGTTCACAGCACCAGCACCCACAACCAGCTGTACCCCAAATATTGCAAGAGACCCTGGACTAGCTACTATTGCTAAAAGTGCAACAATAGAGCCCAAAGAAGTGAAAGCTGAAACAAAGCCACCTGAACCCAAGAAAACTTTTAACAGCGTCAGCAAAATTGATCGACTATCAAGAATAGCATTTCCACTGCTCTTTGGGATTTTTAATTTAGTGTACTGGGCTACCTACTTAAATAGAGAGCCCCGACTTAACGACAAAAGCCCTCCACACTAGCCCCATCATTCATAAGAGTTGTCCATCTATTTTGCACTGGGAATTGCTTTTGGGTTCTAAACACACAGCAGTTCTCATTTGCTTCATTGCCTCTGTTTTAAAGAAATTGAGATGTCCTTATTTTATAAAGCAAAAGTATATATTATATATATACATATATATAAAATAGAAAAAAAAAGATATTAACTCTGTATTCTAGGGCTGTAATAATGTGATGTAGACACCAGATTCTGAACCGTGACTTTGAACAAGGGAGGGAAATATAACAGAAATCCAAATCAATTGTCAATAGCTTACCTCTGGATGTTTCCAGAAGGGATGTTGTACATGTCAGAGCAGAAATATTTTTATGCAAAATGATAGAAGGTAAATCTGTCTTTATATATGTTCATGTTGCACATAAGTATTCTAGTTTCCATTTTTGGAGTGCTGCTTATTTGAATTATTTTATAGGATATGCATCTATCCAAAGTGCTGGATTCCAGAAAATATAGTATTTTTCTTAGATTTCCTATTTGCTGAATTATCCAACCACCAATTTTAAAGCAAATTAATGTTCATATTTACATACAAAACAGTCTATTTCCTAATGGTAGATTTTCTCACAGAATAGCACATTGATTCATAGAATGAATGCTTTAATATGCTCTCTCACTTCAGTCTTATTTTAAACATCAGATGGTCACTTGACTCGATAATATCAACCAATGGCACATTCAGTGCAGATCTAAATCTCTTTGTTTCTGTTAGATAAAAACAATACAGGGTCGATTCTTCTTTTGTGCTTCTGTATTTGTATTAAGGCTTTTGTTCGTTCGGTTGTTTGCTTTCGAAGGAAAACAATATTTAACAATCTCTAGGTAAACTGAATGTATTATTTTATCAAATGGTACACGAAGCTTGCAATCCTAAGCACCCTGACCTGAGAATTATCTAGGGACTTTGGGGGCCATATCTTCAAGTCAATAAGTAGAGAGATTGCACTGGAAAGTTTTAGGTTGCAACACATGGCAAAAAGCAAGACAAAATGTATTATTTCAACAACGTGTAAATATACTACATGAGACTACATTTTTTTAAACTTTTTTATGTTCATATTATGCCTTGTGGGGGTTAGTTCTCTGAACTCTTAATAGGTTGCATTTTTAAAAGAAACATTTAGAACCTGCACTTCTTTTTTTTAAGAACAGTCAGTGGCATTTGAAAGAAAAGGGAGAAAAAAAGACAAGGAAGAGAGCTTGGAATAGGATATATTCCATTTGTAAAGCGTTTATCTTTAAAATAGCTTGCAATTTGAAACCTATCATCTAGTTATACTATTAGGCTAATGACTGGTATGCTCAGGTAATGCGTGAATACAAAAATATGGAATTATATTTGGTAGGACAATGGTAAAATATTTAAGACAAACGTCATCTGTACATTATTGCTATATTTGCTGAAACACAACTGTTAACAATAAGTGATGTAATATATGTAGCATTAAATACAGAAAAAACATACTCAAACGAATGTACAGGAAAATACATTTTATTGAGTAAAACTTATTACATTTTATTTTTACTGTAGCAATATATTTGTAGGAATAATATGTAAGGGCTTTAAATACAAAATGTCCATTTTTCAAGTTATTAGTATTCCCAAAATAATGCTACCCAGTTTTATTTCTGCTGAAAAATTATTTTGAGGAGGGGGTGGTGGAAATCAAATTACCAAGATGGATATTTTAAAAAAATTGAGTGGAAGCATGGATTTGGGGAGGTGTTAATATAAGGGTTCAGAATTCATAACACATGGTAGTGAATGCATATTAAAAAAACAAAGTTGTATGGACCTTCAGTCAAAATAGCTAACACAATCGATATCTATACATGTTACAGGCAATGTTTTATATACTATTTCTCAATAAATCAAAAGGTTGCTGCAGTTAGTGTCTACAAATGAAATAGTTTACTTTTTCCTTAAAAAAGGTAACTTTTAAAAAAAAAACACCCTAACGCTTCATTGTCTACCATTTAGTCCTGTCTAAACTTGATGAGCTAATCTGACTGAAGCTTACTAAAGAGGATCTGTTATCTTCTAGTATTATGTGTAGATATATGTATAGAAAAACAATCAAAATAAAATATGAATTTCACTTCAGTATTTGTTTATCTTGTTATTTTGGCGTTTACTCTAGTGTGTTCATTAAGGGCATTTGACCTTCAGAGTTATCCATTTGGCTCCTTTCAGCCTGCATTTGGCACATTAGAGATGAATATTACTTAACTATTCTGCTTTTTTTATTTTGCTATGCAATGATGCATTCTTTCATCTCTTAGTTTCTTAGTCTCTGTGAACAGTATCCTGTATAAATCTGATTGCACAGTTATCAAAGACAAGGTACTTTCTGTGTAGCTTTTTTACAATGCTTTGCTAAACCATGTAATAATAGTAAGTCTTCCTTGAAAAATAATGATACACTCTTATAGAGGTCAGTTTCTGTTTACTCCTGGAATAATTAAAAACAAGATGACATTGAATGTTTATTGCACTTCAGTGCAGCAATGTGGCAATAAGACCTAAATCTATAACAGAGATTGTTTATGGCAGATGCATGTAATGCTTTACAGAGTTTAGCAAAATCTCATTATTTTATGTTGAACTGTAATTCTATTATACTAATAAAGTTTAAAACAAAAACTATGAGTAATACAAGTGAATGTTTTACTTGGCTTATTTATGTTTATAAATGACCATGCAGGCCAATGTATGAAAGGCTGAAGGATTTAGATCATATGTCAGAGAAAATTTGACAAGAGATGTAAAAAAACAAACAAAAAACACACAGCTCCTGCTGTTTGTGCATATTGTTTGAAGCATTATTCTGTTTTTTTGTACAACATAGTCCTTGTTTGATGTGTTTCCTTTGATTTATGACCCATGCTTTATGGCTTGAGATGGACCATTAAATGCATAGTAAACTCAAGACGAGAACAACCCAAATGAAAGCATAAAGCAATGATGAGTGTTCCTTTAGATGCTTTGATTCCAACCTTTCAAATCCAATCCAATAACAGTGAATGACTTGAAGACATTTTCTTATCTACAACATATAATTCTCATATGGTCTAATAAAAATAAAAGCTGAAGGAGATATGGAGGGCTTATCATGAATATAATAATCAGTCATCTTATATTTCATCTTTTTCTCTCACATGCTACTCTTCTACAATAGTAACTGAGAATGTACTTTTTCTGGTCCTTTTTATTAAACTATATGTAGCTAATCCGAAAACTTGCACTGAACTATGAACCATCATACTATGTATTTGTCTGGATGAAATTCAAAACATAATGAAATAAGCTACAACTTTGAACCAGTCAAAGAGTAGCTAACTGATATATTTTCACTTTAAATGTGTTATTTTAAAAGAATAATACTTCCAAGATCCATGGTTCATCCCCCCCCCCCCTTTTTAAGAAATAATTTTTATTAAAAGTTTTAAAGAGGACATAAAAATTATCTAAAACAGAATAAACAGAATAAAGAAAGAGAAAGAAGGGAAAAAACAAAGATGCATAAAGAAAAGATAAAAGCTTCTGATTTTATTTGTAGTAAATGCAAATATAATTACAAAGTTCTTCTATTATTAATTTTTTTGATCATCAAAACCATGTCATAAAGGGGTTTCTAGTCAATCAACTTTTTTTCAGTTCAGTCATCGCTGTAAATTCCATTAAATCACTAACCATTCCACTATTGTTGAACTTTTTTCAACTTTTGAACATATAACAATTTCCCCATAGTAGTCATATATAAAAAACAAATTTCCATTGTTTTTTCTATCTGTTCATCAGTCCCAAAATAGAAGTCTCTGGTTGCAATTGTACGTTAGTCATTAAAAGCCTCTCAACTAGTCTATTTATTTGTATATAGATTTTTTTTTTTTTGCTTTTTTACAGATCCACACTACATTATAAAATGTATCTCACCTCCTATTATTCTTTTTCAAAGAAGCCACCTGGACTTTTATAGAAAAAGTCACCCAGTTTTTCCAACCACACACCTTCTTTCCCCCTCTTTCCAGGTGTGCAGCCATCATTGCTTCTTCCCTAATGCCCGCTGATTTTAAAATAATCCTCAAAACTGCTTAAAAACCTAAAATATGACTGTGGAAAGCTGCATCTTTTTTGTCCCTGCCAAAAATCAAATTAATTCAATAAAAGAGAATGGCATAAGAGTTCTTAAGATTTCCTGTTCAAATGAAATGGTCAAGTTAAAAGCTTCTAAAAGATGTCAGAGCCTGTGGTTTTGTCTCATTGCAGAGAGATAGACGGACTAACATCACCGATGCTGATAATCTCATTTGACTGAACTGCTGTGGGAGTTTTGAAACATCAGACTAGATTTTGTATTCATAACATACCTACTGATTACAGACTTTTTGACAAAAAGCCGAATTCTCTTTACTTTTTTTTCCTTTTATAATATTGTCTAGTATGCACGAGACGGTGCTGATTACTGAACACCCTATAAAAACCAGTGATGCATTCTAAGCTTAATCCATCAAGAGGAACTATGAGCCAGTATTACACAAACCAGGCAAAAATAGATTGTGCTTTGTCCTTTGACCAAATATATAAAATAGTCTTGTGCCAAAAATCAAGAAAATGTAGTAGAACTTAAGATATTAGAGATATAGAAGAAACTCATTTAAACAGTTTTTCTTACTTCATCAGTTGTGATCTTGGCCAAAAACATTAGCTTATGAAATGGGTACTTCCTGAATGTGGGTATACCAATGAAGCAGTGATGGGATTCAAAAATTTTTTACTACCGGTTCTGTGGGCGTAGCAGGGGAAGGATACTGTAAAATCTCCAGTCAGAGGTGGTATTTTCTGGTTCTCCAAACTACTCAAAAGTTCCAGTACTGGTTCTCAAGAACTGGTCAGAACCTGCTGAATACCACCTCTGCAATGAAGATATTCTTTCATATGAAAAAGAAACTAACAAAATA